GTACAACAAAAAGAACTGAGAGGAGGAACAAATGAAAGGAAGCTGAAGAAGACACTGGCAAGCAGCAACAGCAACAGCAACACATATTGCAGCAACAACAACAGCAGCAACACAAGCCATTGCAAATTAATAAATAAGAAACGCATCCATTGATGCAACTGTTGCCCGTTTGCCACTGCCTGTTGCTTCTGCTGTCTTGTTGATTTTCTTTTTTTTTTAGCCAGCACGCACATGTGTTGCTGCAACATCTTGCTTAATTAAAAAAAAGCGTACACTCCCCTTGAACCCTGGGTGAGTCCTAACTTTACCCCTCTGCTGCTCACTGAGAACTGGGATCCGATTTCCACTTTGTATTTAGTTGCCTTAAAGCCGCAACAGCTGTTGTCGCAGGCATCGTAACTTGACTTTACGACCAGCCCCACCAAACTCCCCACTTTTGCTTAATTTTTAATAACTCGCCGTTAAAATATTTTACGATGACGGAGTCTTAATGAATACGACTGTAGAAGAGAACTTTTCAGCTGTCTGCATTTCGGGGACAACTCATAAAAACCTGTTGCGTGGGATAGTTTTTTGGCGCCACATTCCCCAATTTGCTGGACAATTTGTAAGTGTCCGCTGGTCGACAGGCACAAATTGCAACTGCAACTGCAACTGCAACAGCAAACGGTAAACTTGTAATGGTGCAATGAGTCATGCTGGCGGGGCACACAGCTGCAGCTTTTTTGGTTTTGCCGCAGGCTGATGACTGCCATTTCATCCGGTTTTCAACAGAGATCTTGACCAGAACAATAAAACGCCCAAAAAGACTGAAAAAATAACAATTGTTGCCTCTATGAGTTTACTACCTGTTTCGCCCAGAAACTCTTTTTTGTGGCTGGGAATTATGTATGCCTGTTTGTTTGACTTTTATTGCACAATTAGAATATGAAATACCAGATATAAGCAAACACAAAACATTCGCAATTTGAGTTTGAGACAAGCGTTGGCAAGACAAGAACAGCTTGCCCATTTGGGTTGAGCAACTGGCAAGACACAATTTTCGATGTCTGCCAGCGGTCTAAAGCAATTGTCTCAGCAAAGCAATGGTGAAGGGTTTGCGGGATGGCATCGAGGAGGCTGGTGTAATTGTATGCCAAAGGTCAACAACTGTATTGGGTTTGGAAAAGGCAAATATGGCAAACACACCAAGAGAAAATAAAGTCCAAACAATTGTACAATGGAATGTGTATAACATAGGCTCGCAATTACAAAGTTGAGTTAGCAAAATAGCAAGTTTGCTCGTACATATTTTGCAACAGAAAACCGAATGAAGGTGTCACAAAAATCTTGTAATTGTGAAAGTTGTAATTTAAAACATATTCCAAGACAATCTTGGCTACGAAACAAATCAAAATCACATGGATATTAACAAACAAAAGTTTAATAGGAAGATACACAATTTTTTAGGTTATATCAAAATTGGTAAAAGGTTTTTCTTGTTTATACTAATTTTTGCTTATGTATACGTATACTGCTTATTATTGTTGTTATTGTATATTGCTTATTAATAGGGACTTCTGGAGAAGTTTGGTGTTTGGTTTTTATCTCCTCTAGAGCGATAATTACCGACTTTCTTAGGCATCAAAGGAGCAGAAGCTCGGATTCCTTTTTTAAGAACAAACGAAAAATGTGCCTGATATAAATGCAAACCGAATAAATACCAAAAGTATTGTTTATTTTTTACTCAAACTGTGAACTTTCTCCTTTAGAATAAAAAAGTATTTCAAAGTATTAATTTTAGTGCCTATGAAATGCAATTTATTAGAAACTAGTTAGTTATTTGAATAGGGCTAAAAGTACTTAAGTACAGCCTGGTTTAAAATTCATTTCACTTTTAAAGCCGGTCTCTAATTACGCAATCATGACATGTCTTTCGGTAAGATGAAAATTCTCAAGATATGACGGCGAATGTTCCGTCTGACAAGCAAAAGTCTGTGCAAAAGTGTGATGGTAACAACGGAAAATTGGGAACAGATTGCACGCAACGTTTGGCAAACAGGGGCCCGCACACATTACGTATACGCACTGGTGCAAGGCCAAACAATGGCTCATGATCAGGCAGAGACAAAAGACATGGGACTTACCAAGCACACACACATGACTGCCACATGAGTGGCAGCTGCAGCAATTGCTCTTGTTGTCGCTGCAGTGGCTGATGCAGTTGCACGTTGCCAGTTGCCAGTTGCAAGCATCGCCAGCTGGTGCGATAAACAACAAAAAGAAAGTCAGTAAACCACTGCGAGGCTGGCCAAGTTCAAAGTTCATTGGAAGAAGCGACAAAAGCAGCGATGAGCAGCGGCAACATGTTGACAGCGACAAGCAATTAGCCAAGTTGAGAGGAAAGGAAGGGTTCGGTTGAAGGGGCACAACGACATAGTTCAACTGCAGGGCAACGCGAGCGAATCAATTTGCATTTGCATTTGCAGTCGCCGCTTTTTGTCCCTGAGCAATGAACCTGCAGCATAAGCAGTGCATTAAATAATCATAAATAACTTTTTGTTTCGTGGCTCTTACCACATATGGTTACTTGTGTACACAACCAAATGAGCCGCCGGCAAACGGAGCGCTTTCCTCCTTTTGTTTGACGTAGAAAGTGCAGCGGACAAGACAGGCTCATGGGAAATTAAATCAATTGAACCAACCGGCTGGGCTGGTGGGCTTTGAACTTGGCTTAATTAATCTGTGCAGCCTTTCGAAAGTTTGGTCAGCAAAATTGAATTGAGTTGCCGGCAAAACAGGGACACGCCCAGCGTAAAATTATTTATTTTGTTGTTTGACATTTAATTGGCATTAATTACCCCCCTCAGCCAAGCGCTGCCCCTCTGACTATATCTTTTTTTCTTTTTAGCCAATCATGGCCACAACTTTCACTGTTTCGCCTACACCAAAATTGGTAACGAAAAGGGGGTGGTGCGAGGGGGAGGAGTGGGGAGGGGGAGGGGAGAGTGTGGCCACTGCAATTGACAGTTTCAATTGAAGCATTCGAGCGGAGTTTCGGCCTGGCTTATCGGTGTGCGCCATCCAGGCGGCAGCTTTACCAAAAACCCATTATCATTTTGACAGGCAACAGCCATTAGACAGAAGCAGTTCCAATTACACGCGGAGAAAAAAGGAGTCACTATTTTTGCAAAAAAAAGTAATATAAATCTCACTGAAATTTATTTAGTTAATGCACAGCTCGTATTAACCTCCTCAAGTTATTGCACTTTTTTTAAACTATGTATAAGATACAAATTATGTATAATTATATTAGGATGGATTTATTTGATTTTAGGACATCAAAATGTGTTCAATACGTTAAATGTTAAGAGTCTTTTACTGAAAAGGTATGCAAATATCAATTTCACATGATTGTGGTAATCATTATGCAACCTGTGATAAATCTTCTCCCTTTTCATCACCTCAAGAATTTAGGTTGCTGCAGCTGATTGAGAGCGTTGCATGCCAGCGGCTCATTTACCTCAATTAACAGTGGCCAACAGTTTAGCACCTAATCGTTTGCTACCCACTGGCAGGCCAGAAATGCCAACAGAATAGAGCCAAAATGCGCTCGTTAATTAATAAGCAGTTCCGCCACATAAACGACGCCACAAATCAGCGGGTAGCATACAAAATCAGATACTATTTTATGGGACAGAAGGGAACTGGGAGCTGGGAGCTGGTTGCTGGTTGCTGCTTGCCACACACGTGTGCAACATGTCACCTGGGATCGGAATGGAATTGTGTGGTGTGACGTGCAACATTTACGAGCTCGTTGCTGCAAAGATTTTCATTCGAGCTCCCCAAGAGTGGGAGTCGCAACGCAAAAAAAAATGAAGGTAAATGTACCAAATTCCTGAAAACAAATTCTCCGTCAGATGGATGTCGGGGATTGGAGCGATGAATGCGGCAACATCAGATAACTAGACGAATTTGTCTTGCTTTGTTTTCGTCTCGTCTTGAGTGTAATTTTGTTTGAAATGGAAAGTTTTATTGTTTGCCATCATTCGAAAGCAAATCTCTGAGACTAAACGCTGTCGAATGCAGCCAGCAGCTGCTATTTCTTCGTTTTCGTTTTCATCTTCTGGCGGTTGCTTCTTTTTTTTTGTCTACACACATTTTTTTTTGTTTCTAACTGGAAAAGTAAATCTGGAAATCTATTCAATTGTGACCGCTGACTGAATGTTGTCCGGCCAACTTGAATCGTCTTCCGCAACAATGGAGTGGAATTTTTTCCACAACTTCTGCACTTCTGCCGCTTTACAGGCGGTTTGTACAATAAATTTGCTATGAAATTAGATTTATCTCTGCATTAAATGAATATGGGATATATATGTATTTATTTATGTACGAACGCGAGCCGCAGAAAGAAACTTTGCTTCTAGCACAATGGAAAGTTTCTCAAGCTGGCCCGAAACAAAAAGGTTTTCGCAGCGAAAGCGATTTTCTGAGTCGCAGGGCGAAGAAGAGTTCGTTGGCATTTGGCATTCGCATAATTTCTGCGTCATTTAACACATATTGCCGCTGCGGCTCATAATAATCGGCCAATTAAGGCCGATAATTAAAGACACGGCTGCCAACAATTGCAACACTTCGAACACTTTGGCTGCCGTTTAGGCCGACTGCTATTGTTCGACAGGTTGCCAGTTGCATTTGCAATCCGTTGCATGCCATTTCCAGTTGCACGGTCTTCCTGGTCTTCGCCAAAGCCAAAGCCTGGGACCCGTCCAGATTGCTCTTCCCAATCCCCCAACCCCCGATCCCCCAATCGGCACCTTTGCACACCTGACAACACATTGTTAGCCGCCTCGAATTACCTGTGTTGTTGTGGCCTGGGAGCGCACCTCCAATTGGCATGCCAATTGCCCTGGCAACGAAAGTGCAAATTATGGATAACATGCCCAAGTCGGGCTTACCAAGTTACGTTTAGCGTTACGCATTTTTGCATTCTGTGTGAATTCGATTTTGCTTTCCCTTACCTGCTTGAACTTTATTCACCTGTCGCGTGGTTTTCCTCAGTTTGTTCGGTTGGTATTTACAATCTGCAAAGAAATAAGGAAGGTAGTTTAATTAATTAAAAATCCAAATAAATTCCAGTAGATATATATGTATAGTAAAATGGGTTGAAATTTAAATTATATTGTGGGAAACACTTTAAACATTTTCGGGTCTTAACCAAACCAGTACAGTATATTTAAATTTAAATAATAAATAAACATAATTTTCAACTGTGATATTAATTTGATTTATTATAAAAGTACTCCGAAATATTTTAGGCAATTTGTATATTTAAATTTTGATTTATTCATCAAGCCCTGAGTCCGTTTGTTGAGCAATCGGCGAGAAAACATTAAAATCTGGACTCTGTCCACTGAATACTGACCGGAGTTCAATGGCCTGTGGGCGCGCATGCAAAATTAGCCAATTTCGTTTGGCGTAACTCAAATCGAATTACAAAATGCTAAGGCGCCAGTTGTCCCTCGGACCGCCGAAAGCCCCTTACACTGATTTTAGCCAATGCAATGACCCGAATTCAATGCACGTCGAGCTCATATTTTACGAGTTGCACTGCCAGCAGACACCGGTTCCCCCTTTTAGCCCGAAAACTGTTTGGCATTTAATCGACGGCCAAGTCTTGAGTTGGGAACACCCCCGAACACCACCATCGAACACTGTAATCGAGCTGCACAAGCTACAAAATATTTATTGTCATTCTTCTCGCCTTGTCTTGGGGTTCGGCTTAACTTGGCTTGGCCTGCAGTCTCGACTTGGCCAGAACAAGTTGCAGCCAGTTTAAAATGCACTTGAGCTGAGCACTCCGGTTAAAAATTGGTGGCGAGGGGGGATTAGCGATAAAACAGAACTGTTCCATCAAGGTTAACTTGGCCAAGTGGCTGGCTTTTACGGCACACTTGTCCGTTCTTTCTCGGGGGATTGGCAGACAGTGGAAATGCAATTCTATTGTCAATTAGCATGGTGTGATAAAAACTGACCGCTGCAAGGTCGCCCCTGAGATCAGATCAGAGCTGAATAAGCGGCCATATTTTAATAGCATATTAGCGATAGAAAATCCAATTAAAACGATACTCAGAAGTGTGGTGTTTAAATCCTTATAAAAATAAACAGTGGTTGTGTTGGCTGCATTTGAGGCTATTATATTTTTAAAATACCTGAAACTTTGCAGCAAAATTAATTTGATTGCCAGCTCAAACATAAATTTGGTTTATCAACTTAACATCTCACAAACGCATGGCATTTATTCATAGGAAACAAATTGTGTTAACAACTTTAACATCTTAGCTTTAATTGTGGTGAACTTCTACTGAAATAGATGGGGGTTTTTTTTATTAAGATAAGTACTCAAGGAAAATGTATTGGTTTCTGATGCACTATTTCCTACTACTAGACCCACGGTAAACTGTAATCACATGGCTTATCTTAACCGCACCTCTGGGAGCACTTGTTTGCAGCCATTGAATGCAAATTGCATGTAGCATTATTCTGGCTTATCGGTTCGATTCGAAAGTGGCTTTTAATTAACTTCTCAGCCCCCAGAACAGCTGTCAATGTGCACTGAGTTGATATTCTACGCGGATTTACTGAGCGCAGTTCTGCGTTAGACGGCTAATTAAAATGAAATTGGCAAGTCCACACTTATTTAGACAAGTTGATTTTGTAAGTTAGCCCGAAGAAGGTAATTTAAAACGTGAGGAGGAGAAGCGGAATGAGAACTTAGCAAACAGACAGTGGAACCACGTTAACTTGGGCCACATAAACCCGGCCTTTTGTTATGCGATTCAGTGGAATTTCCAAGAGTGCTCCAAACGGAGTGGGAAGTTGGAACTGGTGGAGCTGGAGGAGCGGGAGGAGGAGCAGCTGGAGCGGAAGCGGGAGTGATAATAAAACAACACCGAAGGTCATTACTGGAAAAACGGGTTTTTCTAGCCAACCTCTACGGCTCTGCAGCATGAAGTGAGTAAGCATTTAGCATTAAAATACCGTTGGGATTATGGCGTTTGAATATGCATGGGCGAAGCCAGGCTGCCCCGGAATTCCCCGCATCCCCAGCCTCCTCCTCCCCCCGAAACAAAACGAAAAAAAAAACAAGTTCGCCTTAATAGTCAACGCGCTAAATGCCGCCAGTTTTGCAGTTGCAGCTCCCAGTTCCGAGCTCCGAGCTCCCAGCTCCCAGCTCCAGTTGCAGCGGCCTCAGCAGCCAGTTGCATCTGCATAAATTATGCACCCAGAGCCATTTGCAAATTGTCATTCATCGTTGGGACTGGCAGCAACTACTGGCGACATCTCCGCGGATGATGACGCCGATGAGGAGCTGAAGAGCTGCGGAGCCGGAGTGATGGAGATGCGGATGACATGGCTCTGTGCCCACGCCGGGTTAACGCCTTCTCTGCAGATCTGGTTGCTAATGGCCGACGGAGATGGTGGCGCTGATGCCATTAAAGGTCAACCGACGGGCAACGAAAAGCTTTTCAGATAAGATTAAACACAAAATTACAAGAGACACTCTTCACAGATTTATCTTAAAGTATCTCAGTTCAGCATGAAAGCATCCCTAAACTTTAAACAGCTTTGCAAACTCTGGCTTTTGTCTGAAGCAAATTGTGTCTGCACTCTGACATGTTGTCCATTATTTTTGTATAAAGACGTCAACAACATAAACGCAGCATGAAACCAGATACTTTTACTTTTGCGAGCTTAATGAACTAAAGATTTTCTCTAAATTTCATTTTGTCTCTATTCTCTGTTCTCTACAAACGGCAAAAAAAAATTCAACATCATTTGCTTTTATTTTTAATAGTTAACATTTATAATCAATTTTAATATTTATCAGTCAACGAAAAAGATATTTAAAAGGTATATGTATATTTAAGTTAAGAGAAGATTTTATGAACCTTTGTAAAAGTCAACTGGTAATTCGGTAATCTTATTTTTGTTTCAGTCATTTAAGGCAGTGGTCTGCTTTAGGAGCCGAAAAAAGAGCGTTTTTTCAACAATTTTTTTGAAAGGGAAGGAAATGATTGCGGTAAACGAAATTTTGAGACGATATAATATTATATTTAAACTTTAAAAAACAATTTTTATTATTGCAAATAATTGAAATTAGCGGAAGTTGTAACGATTTTTCTGGGGCGCCTAGAGTGTGCACTTGTTAATCGGTGCCGGTGATAGAGTTCGTGCGATGCATCTGAAACAGTGGAACCAAATTTTTTTTACTTTTTATAAGTTCCTTTTCTATATGAACTAAAAAAATTCCGAAGAAATGACGAAATTCCAAATTTATTCTAAGTTTGAAAAAAAATTCACTTTTTTGGAAAAAAAGTTCACTTTAAGTTGCAAAACAAGTAATTTAAAAAGTACTTTTATCCATTTTTTTTAGTTCAAATAGAAGATAATTCAATACTGAAGCTAGATCACTTTGGTTTTTTTCGATCGGACATATATTTTTTTACTATGGCCGGCACCGTTTTTCAAGACTTGTGAAAATAAAAACTCGAGAAAACGGGCTGTAAAGTTTGCCCGAGCATACGAACCTGCTCGACGCTCGGCCACTAAAACTGATCTAGCTTCGAAAATATGTCGAATTGGCCTCTAAAATTTTGAACACATATTCATCGATAGTTTTGGAATAGATTTAAGACAAAAAAAAAAAATCGATTTTTTGAAGTCTGTAAAGCAGACCACTGCCTTAAATTGTCAATGATTTTCGACAGATTTAAGTGACTGAAAAGATACTTTGGATTTACTACAGTTCTTTAACAACTTTCTTTGGCAAATAAAAGTTTGTTGTCAAACAGCTGTCGGAATTTTTATGAATATTTCTTTTTTCTTATCTCCATAATTTGCATATTTTAAGGATAAACTTTGGGAGAAAATCAATATTTTATTCACATGCTTAAGCTTAAGTTTTGTTCTTTGCCAAAAACCATATGCAAATATCGGATAATAAGAATACAGAGCAGATTTAAGAATTTGTTTGCTACTGAAGTGGTATTTAAAATGTTGGTTTTAAATTCTCTGGTTATAAAACGGTTTCTAGCCCATTTTATATGACCAGTGGAATTCCTGGCTTCTTTAGGCTTAGTAAGTCACACATTTTACCTAAGTCATAGGCACCAACCAATTTTTTTCTCGCCGGCTTTTATTTGGCTATAACTGTAAGTGTCATCTGAAAGCGGTTAACCGGTTCTTAACTCACTCGGCAAGACGTCCTCAGCAGCCAGAGGCGTAGTCCCAAGGGGGTTTAGTTCTGGTCAGTGAGTTAGAGGCACTTTCCTATGATAATTTGGCTTGAGAGATCCACTGTGAAGATCTCACACAAGCTATGGCCCCATAATCATCCGCTTATGACACCTCAATGCTTTTTTTTTGGTTTGGTGGCAATCCAAACGAGTTGCCGTTCTCTTCTAACCGTTAAGTGACCAGAGCCCCAATGCAATTCAAATGCAGATGAGTTGCTATCTGAAATCTTTCTCCTGACTGCGTCATTGCCACTGCAACTTGAACTGCAACTGAAACTTTCTACAGCTCCGGGTTTTCAAGAGGAGAGTGACTGAGTGAGTGCAGCGCCTCAATCGAATGCTTCAATGGAGCAGAAAACTTTTGGTGGCATCTCTCCATTCGCTTCCACTCCCTTCCTCCGCCGCTGTCGCAAATTAAGTTGAAGTCAATTTACTCAAGCATTGACATTGCAGCAGCAACTGCGGCAAAGCGGCAACGCGGCGAAGTTTCCAGTTGAGTGAAAAGGCTGGGCATGCAAATAGCTGCACTCACAGTGGGCCACATGTATATTTCGGGCCAATAACCAGTGCAACTCGGTTGGCCGTATTTAATTGCCGCTTAGCCGCACAATTAATTTGTCAAAAAAAAGTGGAGAGCTCAACGGGGGGAGGACAGAGGAGGGTAATCTGTCAAGGCATCGCGGCAGGTGGCGCAACTTTCACCTTGACCGGTTGGCCAAAATCCACATCCAAGCCAGCTGAAATTGCACTGGCCGGAGCCAAAGTCTATGCCCGGTTATCATCAT